TTTAAAATCCTGAGGGGCGACTAGCCATTATTGGTCATTAACCTTCTGACAAGTGGGTCAAAGGCAATTTCATGGAAAAAGTCCTTTTTCAGAACTTCAGAGAAGGGTGGGATCATCTTATTTAAAGAGAGTTTAAGAAGTTCTTAGACTCTCTGAGAAGCTGGCCTCTCAGATCTCTTCCTCCGTAGGATGCAAAGGGGGGTGGGCCGAGGGGAAGCAGGTGGTTCAGCAGTCGGAGCATCTCGGCCACTACCAGTGCCGCTCCCTGTACCAGCACGTCCTGCCTCCACCGGCTTTAATCACCACCCTTCTCACTCAGGTACACTGTGTTCTTTCAAACTTGCTTCTTCATTCAAAACTTCTGGGCTATGGATCCAGCCAGATAATTACTTGACTTTCTTACTGGCTTACATGCTCTCTTTTCCTTCTTTCTCCTTTTCCCAGCTGCCCTAGGAAGCCCTGTCTTAGCAGCGAGGCCAGTCTGTCCAATACAACTGTGATGGCCAGTGTCTGTAGTTAGGCTGGGCCTGCGGATGGAGCAGCAAGTACTCCCAGTGCAGACTCATTGAGTGAGAATGGGGAGGAGGAAGGGAAACCTGGATTCATCATTTTTTAAATGCATTTTTAGAAAAACTCAAGGTCGGCTTAATGTGGTGGCTGGAAAACCCACTCATCCATCCATCCACCCATCCATCCATCCACCCATCCATCCATCCACCTATCCATCCACCTATCCATCCATCCACCCATCCACCCATCCACCCATCCACCCATCCACCCATACACCCCTCCACCTATCCATCCACCCACCCATCCACCCATCCACTCATCCATCCATCCATCCATTTTAAAGCAAATGTCCACTGAGCATCTGTGATACACCAGCTCTGGGCAGGGCCCCAAGAATATAGTGTTGTGCTAAAATAACCATGCCAGTATTTAGTCTGATGGAGAAGAGAGAAGCTAGTAAGACACTTAAATGTACATGATGCAAGCATTAAGGACATCTGCAGGCACCCTGAGAGCCAACGGCGCATAGATCTGACCTGGTCAAGGAGGCGGGGGCTTCCTTGGGAGGCCACCTTGGGATTCTCTATTTATGGCCCTGTGCACAGCTGACAGGGCAGACACTGCTGGGGGCCTCCCCAACAACCATGTTCCCATTTGTGTTTGCTCACAGAGCCCAGTTTGGTCAGCGACCACCTGTCCAGTCCCAAGGGATGAGGAGGTATCAGTCCAAGGTAACCACGGTAACCTCATATACTGTTTGCCTGTGATCGGTGTAGGAGTGGTTAACTCTCCAGTTCTGACCACTGAAACATCACAGAAGTCTTCCAGGGTCGGCTGGGAAAGATTTTCCTCCCAGGGAAAGAGAGAGAAGCTAATACTGTAACAGCGCTCCACAGTACTGCAAGTGTGAGCCAGTGTCGTCAGCAAGGAGGGACATTGCTCCCCAGACCCTCCATGCCCCTCAGAGGCTCCGAGCACAGGTCTAATTCCAGGGGGAGGGAGTGCTCCTTTTCTCCTGCATGTCTTCTCACTTGGGGGCTCCCAAGGCTAGACTCTGGGATACCGACGAGCTGCCATGTGCCACCTGGATGATGGTTTCCCTCCGGCTGAAGCCCAGGGACTCCTGTGTGTGGGAGGCTCTCAGCCCCTCCCAGCTCCGCATTCGGGACAGGGTCTCTTGCTTCCCAGAGAGCTCCCAGGTCTCAGAGGCCATACAGTGGAGGACATGGGGCCCAAAGCCAACTCCACTCACTCCTTTATTTTCCAGTGTCAACACAAACAGCTTTGTGGTGGGCGGATGCATGTCTGCTTGGCGCTGGGCCCCTGGCAGAGAGTACAAAGTTTGCCTTTGGTCTCATTTCACTTTCTCTTTGGCATTCTCTTCTCCATCTTTCCGCACTGAGCTGATGATTTCAGGCTCCCCGCTTTCCAGAACTCTCCACTGCCAGCACCAGCCTCAGTGTGCAGGAGTGCTACACAATAGAACTCTCTACGGTGATGGAAATGTTCTATATCTGTTCTGTCCAACATAGTAGCCATAACCACGTATAGCTATTGAACATTTGAAATGTGGCCCGTGTGACTGAGAAATGCCTTTTTTAAAATTATTTAATTTCAATGAATTTCTATTAAAATCGCCACAGATGGCTAGTGTATTGGACAGTGCAGGTCTGGAAGTCAATACCTCAACCATTTCAGTCTCTCCAACGTAATCACAAGTAACCTGTCCTGCGTCCCAATTCCAAGGCTCTCTTCTTAGACATGTACCAACGTGTTGATCCAATGAGCAAATTCCTATCCATTAATTACTGTCTCATCTCTCTTAGATAAGCTCATAGATTTTGAGCAATGCCATACTTTAGTCAAAGCAGAGCTTCAAGTGATAGGAATCTGAAGGACTCTGGTAGGCAAGCAGGGTGGGCAAAAGGATTATGGGCCTCGAGTTTTACACTTACTTCAAAGCACACTCTGTGGATGGGCACATCCTCCCCAGTGCCTGGGGCTGCTTCTAGTTTCCTCCCAGTCTTTTGTAGTCTGGGGAGAGTTAAGGTCACAAATATGCAGATGAGAGCCTGGGAAGTGGAGGTGGGAGGGGCTGGAGAGGGGAGGGTTGGAATGGGAATAGCCCAAAAGATGCCAAGTTCTTGCAAAAGAACCTGGCATGCCAGTGGTGGTGATCTGATCCACCCTGGGGAGGAGGTGCCAGGGAGCGGTCCTTAGGGAGTCATTGTTACGACTGGGACAAGATTGAAGAGTCGACAGTTCCATCACAGAGCCCAGAAACCAGATTGAAGGCCACAGAATAGACTGTGACAGTTTTGGTAGAGTCTCAGACAGGAATTGTATTTCCATTCTTAATTCTAATCTCCCCTAATTTTAGGGGTGTATTTTTCTCCTTCTGAATTCTGTTATGAACATTGCTTTCTCCATGTTCTCTCCACCCCAACACTGCGCTGCGTTTCCGGTTCTCTTGGCTGACCATACAACTGCTATCAGGTTCTCACCTGTGAGTTCACAGGTGCCCTCGGCATCACATGCAGCCCTTGCAAAACAAACACTAGGTTGGATAAAGGGTGGAAGGTAATGGGGGGGTGGATGCCGGGAAACAAGGTCAACTGGGGCATGAGAGGCCCAGGTGGAGAGGAGCAGGAAGCGCAGATACCCACCGCAGAGCTATGGGATTTGCTCTTGGGGCCTCAGTCGCCTATCGTTACCGTGGGTGAATCTGCTACCACTACATGCCCTGCTCTTCACTCTAAGGAATGGAAGAAGGGCTTTCTAGTTAAGCCACTGCCTAGAACACATGCCTATGTGTTTACAAAATATCACATTTTATGAAATAAATTGGAGACTAAATCTTTTGTGCAAGAATGTGGTCTATAAATATGTACACATACAAAGGGGAAAAAATCACAGCCAAATTCCTCTGGTGCCTTGCAACACAGTTCAGGCCTCGCACTGCCTCGCTGGAGCTCCTCAGGCTCACGAAGGGAAGGACAGCTGAGGGTTCAGCGTTACCCTGCTCTCTCACGGGTGTCTTTCCTTCAAGCTGGTCTCATGAGACATTTGGCGCCAAGGAGCAGAAGCCCAGAAAGGAGAAAGAAACTCAGAGAAGCCGGCTGCGTTGATTCACTGGTTGCAATGTTGCCAAATACTCCTGGGCACAGGGTCCAGTTGTGCCAAAGCTTTTTGACTTCCCCACTTTTCCTCTGAGGAAGACATTTAGCAATGTCTGGAAACATTTTACTGTCACACCTTGGAGGGAAATTTTAGACATCATTGAAGATCTGAAGACATCATTGGTTGTTACAAGGTGGGTGGGTTAGTGTCCTACCGGCATTTAGTGGGTAGAGACCAGAGATGCTGTTAAACACCCTACAATGCACAGTACAGTCCCTAGGACAGAGAACTATCTGGCCCAGAATGTCAACAGTGCTAACGTTGAGAAACTCTGACCCAGGGGGAAGGCTCAGGCTTGGTTCTTGTCACTGAAATGTCAGCCCTCAAAGGGCTAGCACTGTTTTCAATGTTGGAAGACTAGAAAATACCCTGGGGTGGTTTCAGGAAATCCTAGCATAATTTTGGCTAGAATTCTCTTCTGCTTGATGACTTAGTGTCACATCTTCACGAGTCCGTAAGTTCCTCTGAAAGAGGGAGTACATTCTCACGGTTCCACATGTTACACATGTCAAGTCGCTCTGGCTGGGGGTGGTGGTCTATTCCCATTTCACTGCAGTATATACGGAGCCCTGAAGCTCCAACTGTAAGGTGGTATCATAATACATCACAGCCTGTTTGTCAGCTGGGCCTGGCGTCCTAGGAGGGCGGAATCGGGACATGGTGTGCGAGCTGGTGTGAGGGGCATGTGAGTTGGGTACTTCTCAGCCAGCTGCACTCCACAATGGCAATAGGATGTTGTAGGTGGGGAGAGGAGCCCCTCAGCTTGTGAGAGCCAAGCCAGCAGACGGTGCCCGGGGCTCGGTGGGTTGAGGTCTATCAAGTGATTTTCCTTGCCAATGGTTGATGGGAGATCCAGAGCCCATCGCAGATGAGTCTTTCTTTCAGGTCTGACAATGGGATGGGAGGGAGGGGACACTCAGTGGCAACAATATTAGAGAGCTGAAGGGGGCCAGAAAGCGATGGCAAGAATTTATGGAGAACGGCTTGGGAAGCTATAAGAAAATACCGTATTTCTTTTTCTGATTTTAAAAATAACACAGTTGTTTTTGAAAATCTCTCAAGTTTAGAAAAATATAAAGAGAAAATAAAAATCTCCCATAATTGCTCCTCTAGGTGATGCCAGCTATTAATAGGTACTTTTGAGAAAAACAGAGAAGGGCAGGCGGGGAGGCCGGCGGGTCTTTGAGAGGAGCACAGCGCAGCAGCTGACTGGTTTGGGGTTCTCTCTGGGAGCCGGGACAGTGGAGTCCCTGCCCTGCCTGGACGAAGTGACAGTGGGAGAGACGGGCATGTGATCAAGGTCCCCTTACCTCCAGGCTCATGTGCAGAGCATTCTTAGTGTTCACCTCCATGAAAGCACGAGTTCTTTAGCTGAAAGAGGAAATGATTTATTTTAGCTCAAAGATGACAAAACAGGAGACACCATTTCTGACTCGCCTTGTAGCCCCAGCAAGACTGAACTCACTGCACTTCGGGACAGGCACAGGCCAGCTCTAGGGTTTTGGGGTTACTTTGCTGGCAACTTCATTATGAAGTAATTTCAAATTTATAAAAAAGATGCAAAAAGAGTTAAAAAAGTCCCATATACCCTAATTGTTAATATTTTGCCACATTTATCGGTCTTTTCCTTTTCTGTATACAAAAATTACTATTTTTTTTCTGAATCAGTTGGGGATAATCCTTAAATATTTCCATGTGTTTTCTTAAGAACAAGGGCATTCTCTTACATAAACACAGTGTAATGATTAAAATCAGAAAATTAATGTTGACACAGTAGTGTTATCTCATCTACAGATCTTACACCAATATTGACAGTCATCCTAATTGGGATTAGATTTTATGAAATCTGGTCCTGGAGACCTTGAATGACAATTATTGATAAATCTTGCCACAGCCATGACTGAATTGGAAATCTGGCCATTTGAACTTGAAGTGAAAGTTTGATTTCTTTTTTAAAAAACTGAATTTATTGGGGTGACATTGGTAAATAAAATTATAAAGGTTTCAGGTATACTAGTCTATAATACATTAGCTATATATTGTATCGTGTGTTCACCACAAGTCTTCTTCCATCACCATTTATCCCCTTTTTACCTTCTTCTACCTCTCCCTATCACCTTCTTCCCTCTGACTATCACCATACTGTTATCTATGTCTATGAGTCTTTATTTTTTTATTTTGCTTAATCCCTCACCCTTTTCCTCAAGCCCTCAACCCCCTCCCCCCTGACAGCTGTTAGTTTGTTCTCTGTATCCATGAGTTTGATTTCACTTTGTTTTTTAGTTTATTTTGTTCATTAGATTCCACATATAAGTGAAATCATATGGTACTTGTCTTTCTATGACTGGCTAATTTCACTTAACATAATACTTTCCAGGTCCATCTATGTTGTCACAAAAGGTAAGATTTTCTTCTTTTTTATGGCTAAGTAGTGTTCCATTGTGTAAACATACCACAGCATTTTTATCCACTTATCTACTGATAGACACTGAAGAAAGAAATGGAAGAAGATACAAATAAATGAACGCATATACTGTATTCATGAATAGGTAGAATTAACATTATTAAAATGTCCATTCTACTCAAAGCAATTTATAGATTTAGTGCAATTCCTATCAAGATACCAATGGCGTATTTCACAGAATTGGAACAAATATTCCAACAATTTATATGGAATCACAGAAGACCCTGAATAGAAATAGCAATCTTGAAAAAGAAGAACAGGGTTGGAGTAATTGTGCTACCTGATATCAAGTATACTACAAGGCCATAGCAGTCAAAACAGCATGGTGCTGGCATCAAAACCGACATATAGATCAATGGAACAGAATAGAGAACCCAGAAATAAACTCATGCTTTTTTTTTAGAATTTAAAATATAACTTAATTGTCTTTTCTTAAATTAATTAATTTATTTTTGTTATAGATGTTTCTCCTTTTCCCCCACTGATTCCCCCCTCCCCCTGCCTCCCCACCCTGTCCCCAGCTTTTTTGTCCATGAACTTTGTTCATGCATACATGCATATAAGTTCTGTGGTTTATCTCTCCCCCACCACCCCCTGTTCTGGGGATTGTCAGTCTGTACCTCACTTCCACGTCTCTGGGACTACCCCATTCCTCAGACTGTTATGTTCATTATATTCTACAAATAAGTGAGATCATATGATAAGTTGTCTTTCTCTGTTCGGCTTGTTTCGCTTAGTATAATACTTTCCAGGTCCCTCCATGTCATCACAAAGGATAAGAGATCTTTCTTTCTTACAGCTGCATAGTACTCCATTGTGTATATGTACCATAGCTTTTTGATCCATTTGTCAACTGATGGACATTTGGGCTGTTTCCAGATCTTATCTATTGTAAATAGTGCTGCTATGAACATGGGGGTACATATATTCTTTCTGATTGGTGTTTCAGGCTTCTTAGGGTATATTCCTAGAAGTGGGATCACTAGGTCAAATGGAAGTTCAATTTTTAATTTTTTGAGGTGACACCATATTGTTTTCCATAGTGGCTGCATCAGTCTACATTCCCACCAGCAGTGTACTACAGTCCCCTTTTCTCCACACCCTCGCCAACACTCATTGTTTGAAGATTTGTTGATGGCGGCCATTCTGACAGGTGTGAGGTGATATCTCATTGTTGTTTTAATTTGCATCTCTCAGATGATTAGTGATGTTGAGCATTTCTTCATATGTCTCTTAGCCATTTGTATGCCCTGTTTGGAGAGGTGTCTATTTAGTTCCTCTGCCCATTTTTTAATTGGGTTCTTTGTCTTCTTTTTGTTGTAAACTCATGCTTTTATAGTCAATTACAATTTGACAAATGAGGCAAAAACATACAATGGGGTAAAAATAGTCTATTCAACACATGATGTTGGAAAAATTGGACAAATACATGCAGAAGAAAGAAACTAGACCACCTTCTTACAACATACACAAAAATAAACTCAACTCAGATTAAAGACTTAAATGTTAGACCCAAAACCATAAAAATCCTAGAAGAAAACATTGGCAGTAAAATCTTGCCCATTTCTCATAGTAATTATTATTTTTTTCTGATATATCACCTCGGGCAAGGGAATCAAAATAAGAAACAAACAAACAAAAAAAACAAATGGGACTACATCAAAGTAAAACATTTTCTCACAACCGGGAAAACCATCCACAAAATGAAAAGACTGAATGGGGAGGGAGGGGCTGCCACCTCTCCCCAGAGCCCTGGGAAGGAGCAATATGGCCACCGTCCTGCGTGGCTGCAACTCAGCAAAAGCTCTGAGCACCCTTCAAATCCCGAGTGTCCCCACACAGCTCCAGTCCAGTCCGCCCTCCTTCTGCCGGAGCCCAAGAGTCATTTGGATGTGTATCTGTCACATTATCCAGTGGGGACCTCTGTTCAAAACATGCTCCACTTGACTCAGGCTGTTAAGATTGTGAAACTTCAAGCTTTTGACTGGGGAAACCTGGTTCAGGATATGAGGCACTATCATCAGCCCACACCTCCCATTGACAGATATGAATGTGCCAATTGTGGTGTAAAACGGCGGCAAGGACTTGGTGGCTGACCCTCATGATGTTGACCTTTTGCTTTCCAAACTCCCTAATCTCGTTTACCACAAGAAGATTCCTTTTTACAATCATGTGGATTTTGTCTGGGGACTGGATGCCCCTCAAGAAGTCTATAATGACATTGTTTCTATGATGGGAAAAGATAAAAATTAGTTCTGGATTTGAAGAATCATCCATTCATTTTTCCAAAATACCTTTTTCTGTCCCACATAATTTTCTATAATGATTGAGATGCAATGCTTCTTTCTGTAATTTTGACTTCTGAAATATATTAGCATTCAAAAAAGAAAAGACTGAATGGGAAAACATGTTTTCTGATGCATCTGATAAGGGCTTAATATCCAAAATTTATAAGGAACTTATAAAACTCAAGACCAAAAGAAACAAAACAATCCAATTAAGAAACGGGCAAGGGACCTGAATAGACACTTCTCCAAAGAGAGCATACAGATAGCCAATAAACATATGAACGGATGCTCATCGTCACTAATCACCAGAGAAATGCAAATTAAACCACAATGAGATATCACCTCACACCTGTCAGAATGGCTATCATCAATAAATCAACAAACAGCAAGCATTGGCGAGGGTGTGCAGAAAAGGGAACCCTGTGCACTATTGGCAATAACTTTGAGTGAGGCAGGACTGTTCCCTGGGCTCTTGGGTAGCAGCTTGCGTCAGTAAGCCCATCAGTAATCATGGTTCTGCGTCAGAAAACAAAAAAGGATTTCAGGATGTGAATCTAAGATAGGCTTTTATATGTCTGCAGTTACTTATAAAAATTTGCTTTGATACAGAGACAATTCCTAATTTAGTGCCGAATTTTGTCTTGTACGTTGCACGCAACAACAAGCGATCTAACTAGAGTAGCAGGACAAACAATATTTTCAAATAATTTCTATGTCTTCAAAAGCCAGAACCCTAGAGATCAAAAGCCAGAACCCTCAAAGAATTGAGTGTTAAATATTCTCTATATTCGGTTGAGCTGACTCAACTGATGGAGGAGGAACCGGTGGCTTCATGCTGCTGAGATTGTCTCTCTCACACACCCAACTCTCCCAATCGTCCTGCTACTGGCATAATGAACGGAGAGCCCAGCTACCTTTGCAGTACAAACCTATGAGATGATGAGGGCTATTTGAGCATCAAATGGTCAGCCCCAAGGCATCTGATAATGAGGTGTCTGTTGAATCCAGAGCTTGTAACACAGATGTCTGGGGCAGCTTTCTTAGAAGTCACCAATACCCCCCCTCCCCGCCGTAGAATGCAGCAATGCTGAAATTTTCATTTAAAAAAACTCGGAACATCCTAGAATGTATTTTAGTTTCTGGGAATCCTTTCAGGGCTTAGAGCCCTCTCTTTGATCATGTCCTAGTTCCGTTCAGAACAACTCCTGCTCTGCTCTGTTACTTCCTAAATAACATCCATTCTTTTTACACGCTTCCGTGATACCAGAGGGGGCAGCAGAGGCTGGGAAGTGTGCAGAAGGAGGGGAGCCCCGGACCAGGGCTGCACGGCGGGGGGGGGGGGGGGGGAGTCTGGAAGGCAGAGCAGCAGCGAGAAGTAGAGCTCTGGGGCAGGACATGAAGGCAATTGGGTCCTTTCACTCATTTCTGCTGTTCAACAAACACTTACTGAGCGATAGGCCTGGGCTTACTTCATTCATTCATCTGTCATTTGGCATTCAAAACATTTTTTTTCTTTACTGATTTTAGAGGAGAGGAAGGGAGAGGGAGAGAGTGATATGAACATCAATGGGAGAGTGATAGAAACATCGATGGGAGAGGGAGAG